ATGGCGATCCGTCTCCACGACGAACCACTTCACATTGACATCTACTTTCAAGCTTTGTCTGAAGCCATCTCGCGATCCTACCGTCGTGGAACTCATATATACCGAGCGATGGAGAGAAGGCGCAATGCGCAGCAAGCGATGGGTGCGACTAAAACCACAACCCAGGTACTCTGCGGTATTCATCGTCATTAGTGACAGACTACAATGCCCAGTCGAGCGAGTTCAAAGGTATTAACAAAAAAACGATAAGACCATATGCCACTACAACCATCCACACGCCCTATTAGGTCACCGATCAGTCCTCTCCATGCGCCCAAACATCCTACGATTTATGTACCCAGCATCGCCACCTCTCTCGCCTCGCGTCACACTCTGTTCCAAAGCTGACTAGACCTGCTTCTCGCCTCGAGGCGCCGCTCGAACATAAGCATCCGGCTTCGCTAGCCCCTTCTTGCGAAGAATGTACGTGTTCCAAGCGTAGCTCATCTGCGCTGTCACGCTCACAGGTGGGCGCTGGTCGCCGAACTTGTAAAGCTGAGGCTTGGAGAGACCCTTTCGACGGAGTATGTACGTCTTAAACCACCAAGGCAGGTTCTTGCCAGCTTGGTATTTCATGTGAGTGCGTGTAGGGACACCGAAAATGTAGTCGAGCTCTTCAAGTGTCCGCTGCTTGGTCTCGGGTAGCCAGAGGAAGCTAGAGATATATTAGCTCTCTGAATGTTGCAGGGGATCGAGACTGGCTTACATCATGACTAGGGCCACGACATTAAGACCGGCGTAGAAGCCGAATACTCCCTGAGGTCTCATGACCTTGAGCATGCGAGGGAGTGTGAGCGACAGCACTGCCTAATAATTGGCGTATGGAGTCAGTATATGTCGCACTAGGGAATTCATCATGTAGACTTGACTTACCGCCCAGAAGTTGTTCGTGGCCACAGCCCATGACATACCCACTTCTCTGTGCGAAAGCGGGAACACCTCAGCCGAGTACGTGAATGGCACCGGTCCCATTCCAGGAGAGTAGAAGGCGCCAAATAGATATACGAAGAATGCGATCAAGCCCAGATGTGCATCGCTGTCCTTGGGAATGTAGTAGCACATGCCAGCTACAAGGAGTGTCCAGAACATATTAGGAAACGTGGAAAGAAGCAGACCGCGGCGACCGAACGTATCGATTGTCCAGACTGCTGGCCATGCGAACGTGAAGTTCACAAGACCGAACCCAAAAGATGCAATGAGGGCTTCCTTGTTTGTGGCCCCTCCCTCTGCGAAGATCGTCGAGCTGTAGAATGCGATGATGTTGATGCCACACATCTATTCTCGTCAGCCTCATTCCTCCCAAGCGAATTCCCGCTATCTTACCTGTTGTCCGATCATCACAATTCCAGAGGCTTGCGTCGCGCGACGGACCCGAGGAATCGTGAACAGCTCGACAAAGCGCGTAAAGAAGTTGGACTTGGGGTTGATTCCAGCTTCGCGAATCAGAACCTCTTCCTGCTCGAGGAGGCAATGGGTGTAGTAGAGGTCGCGCGCAGCTTGAAGAGGGGTGTTGCGTAGACGAAGAAAGGATCGGTAGGCTTTGGCGTACTTTCGCTTCTTCATGAGCCATCTTGGACTTTCAGGAACGAACCAGATGCCAATGACGAGGGGGACGGCAGGAATGAATGCGGATCCGAATTGTAGACGCCAGGAAATCGACCCAGTGTTCTGCCCATTATCAGTGGTCGCAAACTACGAGCACGTTGACGGACTTACCATGACAGCCAGATTAGCGACAGTTCCAAGGAAGATGCCAAACGCCGTCCTTACTGGGTCAGTTTTTGTCTCGCATACATCTCGTACAGCAAGAACTCACCATATTTGCCAGGACATGACGAGCCCGCCACGCACACTAGCCGGAACATTCTCCGCTGAGAAGACGGGCACTGTAACTTCCTTGAGTCCCATGCCAACGCCCAGAAGCACACGGCAAACGGCAAGCTGGCCCCATGTCTGGCTCAGACCCATGCCAAAGGGCGCAAAGAGTGAGAAGACGGCAGCGATGAAGATAGTACCACGACGACCGCAGAGTTCATTCACGGGGTCTAGAGCCATTAGCAAGGGACAGTATGAGACGACAGAAACTTCAAAGCCTACTCACCAGAGATCCAAGCACAGAACACTGTAAAAGTTAGCGAATTTCTCACCTGGCTCACCATCATCTCAGACTCACCAGCAATAGCAATATAAGGACAAGCATTGATAAACCCAATAATCCACCCATTCTTCTCACAGGTCCCCGCCGCCTCACACACCGGGCCAGAGTCTGGAATACCAAGTGCCTGGCCGAAAGTCAGATTAGCGCCGTTGGAGCCCGTTTGGTCCCAGCCCTGGATAGCTGCTGCGACGGAGTTGAGGATAATGGTGAAGTAAAGTGTGCGAGGGAGTTTGAAACGATGGGTGATCTCTTCGCGGATGGCGGTGCGGTCATTCTCGTCGAGATCTTCGAGATCTTCGAAGAGTGCGGGCGACTGAGCGAGGAGGGCGCCTTTGACGAGGAGAGGCTCGACGTCGGTTAGCTGGTGCTCTGTGGCGAAGTCGTGGACGTTGGCTAGGAGCTGCTCTCGCGGTATGTCGACGAGCGGGTTGCGGATTCTGGATTTGTTAGTAAAAGCGAGTCTTGAGCATGCCATTTGAGAAGTTTCGGGTGCGAATATGCTTGTGCCAAGTGGGTTTGATCAGCTAAGGGATTACTTACTCGCCCTCTAGATTGGCTGTTAGGCGAGCGACGCTCTCTTTGCGCTTCTGTTCATCGTCGAAGATGGACGCCTTACGTTCGTGGTGTTCATCCACTACCACTGGACTGGAAGACACACGGTCAGTACAGTCTAAGCCTCACATCATGGTCATCTTCAGCTTGCGACAAGTAGCTTACTCAATCTTGGTATCCTTTTCGGGTTCTGCCATGGCCAACTTATAGGCAGACGTGCGCACTACAGCTTGAGTATGTTTGGCGTCGAAGCCCAGGTGGAGATAGCTTCAGGAAAGCTTCCAGCAAGATACGAGAACAAGAAGAAAAGACGCAAAAGAGCTTCATCATACGAGACCAGGCGAACAGACATGCTTATATGTCCGTGTCATTCAGGCTTACTGCTTCATTCCCAAAAGCTGCAGTTTCCCCGTCTTGGGTCAATGCCAATACCGATCCTCACACATGCAACCATCGCTATCCATCAACAAAATGCTCAGACACGATCACGCGGTGCCAGCTCACCAGCCAATAGCGTCATGAGGTGATAGGCCAGGGTAAGTAATCACCGCATAACAGCTGGGAGATGGCCAACGTTGGTGGCTGCAAAACGGTAAGGCGGAGCACTTGGTCGTTCTTGGGTATTGGACTTGGCCGGGCTTTGACGGTATCTTCACGCCTTGGAAGTTCTTGCTGCGATGAAGCAAGGGCCAGGAGGGGCTAAGGCTGATGCCGACATCACAAGCCGCGACGAACTCCGGGTAATATAAATCCATGGCTCAAGATACGCGGCTTCGGCGCTTCTTCGATACCACGGAGCATCGTGCGCTCAAACCCCATACAGTAACGGCAGAAACAACAGAACGGGCACAGCTATTCTGTCCCATCGCAAACCAGCCATGTACACTACATTCGCCTTGGCATTTCCTCGGTCATTCCATCTTGGTATCCTGAGGCCAAGCCACAAACACACCCACTTCTCTCAGCTGAAGCAAACGAGGATCTCACATGACGGCATGGTGCAATGTAACACAAGACTCATCGCCATATCTGCAGGCATACGTAAATGCACAAAGATGCACTGCAAGTCCACATATTTCCCGAAGGATCGGTATTAATATCTCAGCCCACCCAGCAAATGCCTTGACCGGTGCTGCGGCCACTTGTATCGCAAGTACCGTACTCTGGGATTACAACGAGTACTTCACTTGCTATGCAAATTAGCAAGATATCAGCGCTTCAAGGTTCTTCCTTGCTGTTTTCAATCAAGAAAGGCGAAGCCGTCGTGCCCCGTTTTTCAACCCAAGACTTTGCGTGATCAAGATCAGACAAAGGCGAAGGTTGTTTTCCCCGCATTCTCGCTTGACCTTGCTTGTGCACCAACCGTTTTCTCTTGGATGTGCTTTCTTGTGGTTTCTTGGATCTGCAGCATGGGTGCTAGCAAGGTAGCGCAGATCGAGACCTGCGCGATGCACGTCTGTGGTGAGATTGAGTCTTGGTGGGGGCGCTGGTGGAAGCCTGAGTCTCTTCGCTTTGGCGCCTGGCTCGCTCTCTGTGTAGATCTGCATGCGGCGTTTTCTCAACGCGATCACGATAATCGGGTGTTGTCGCATGGGATCCACGGATATCGGTCAACGCGGAATTCCTCATCATTGCCGCACGCAGTATGTCGAGGCAAAGGCTAGCATCTGTCGCAAGCCTACTGCCGTCACGCATCTGGCGAATGAAGAAGGAAGTGCCACGCCCAGATAGATAGGGATCTGAACATCTTCAAGAATCGGTATCTTCAACATGTCTTTGTAACCGTTCGGGATGCAGCTACATCTGCTACCTCTCAATGTCGAGCCAAATTCTGAACTAGCCAATTCAGCTGAGCTGTTACAGCATTGAATTCCAGGATTTCGCAGAGTTTGTCCCTGAATCTCCACGACGTACTTGCTGGAAAACGGCGCTGAAAGACGGACTCTCAACTCGCGGCCGAAGGTACATCATCAGAACCACCCACTCCTGCCTCTGTCCGCTGCCCGTTCAATAGGGGAGTATCTGAAGCCCTTTCTCCCTCTCTGTGTGCTGGCGACGTTTCTGAAACCCGCAGAGCCTCAGAGTTTTGATAATTCTGTAAGAATCGCTTCGCCCGGTTTGTCTGGTCCAGCGTTTCCTCATAACCTTCCCATGTTGGGTCGACCCTTTCAAACATATCCTCGAAGCCCTGCGTCAAACTGGCTTTTAGTTTTTCAATCCTCTTCACTTCCCTCTTGTGCTCAGGCGACGTCTAGACGCCATTTCCGTATCCTACTTCCTTCTGCTTCCCTTTATCTGTGCTGTCGCTCGTATCCGCGCTCCCTGCAAACGCAGTTTGAATCGGAGGTCTAGGTTTGGCGGCGATGTCGAGTTCGGCGAATTTGGGTCGTACTTGGAAGATGTTCACGCGGGCTGCGTTGAAGACCTGTTCGGAAGGCGGGATGGTGACTGCGAGGTTTGTGTTTTCGGTGAGACGTGTTATGAAGAACATGAAGCGACCCGTTTTGATCTGCATTTCTGCAAAGTTTGCACTACCGGCAGGAATATTTGTGTGTTTCCTATGAGGGAAAAGGGTATTAGCCAAGTCTTGAATGGTTGGTTGGTTGGTTGGAGGACAGGTACGTACGCCATGCTCTGTTTATGCGTCTTCAGGATGCTTGAGATGCGCTCGAACCGGTCCGTGAACGGGTTGGCTTCCTCAGTCTGCCTTGTAACATGTGCCACTGTAAGACAAGTTGTACGCTCATACAGAATGAGTTCTCTAGCATCAATAACCTCGGCCAACTGTTCCAGCAGTGCCTCAATCGTTCCCGCATTCGGTATCAAGTAGTAGATGATCTTTGTCCAGGCTTTGTACAGGCTTTGGTCCCAGATGCTTGTTGCGAAGAACTCGACCGTATCCTTGAACCCCTCGCTAGCCTCCCGGATGTACTCGGCGCGCTCGTCGAACATGGCCTGGCGGAGGCGGGCTTGTACGAGATCCATCTTGTGTATAAGACAGAAGACTTTGGCATTGGGGCTGCACTCGTGGAGGGCGCGAATGATATTGGAGTAGGAGACGACGTCGGCTGCGAACTCGCGCGATTCGATGTCGAAGACGAAGATGAGGACGGCGACGGAGCCAAAGACGTGGTTCCTAGACTGGTTGAGGTAGTTCTCGACGAAGCCGTCCTGACTGCGAAATATCAGTTCGTGTTATCGTCTGGTCTGGTAGCTGATGGGCTCACCCTCCGCAGTCCCAGAGATTGAGCATGAGGTTTCCCATGAACTTGATATTGCTGTGCTCAACATCGATTGTCGCACCCAGTCTCCGGACATCTTTGGCAACGTAGTTGCTGAAAACGATGCTTCTCATTGATGACTTGCCGGCTCCACTCTTGCCCATGAGCAGCACCTTGCGCTGCTTCTGCCGTTTGATTGAGTTCATGGTGATAGCGTTCCGACTGTGGAAAGAAGCTGCGCGCGAGTCGCGATAAGGTGCGCTGTGCAAAGACCGCCGCGCGGCAAAGGTAGGCTTGGTAGCGAACGCGGAGTGGTAAGCGTCTAGTAATATGGAGCCGTCGCGTGGGATTTGATGATGGGATGACGTACCGTAAACAGCACGCCTGGGCGAGCTTTGGCGTCCCCGAGCGGTTTTGGGTCTCTGCTTGGCAGGTGAGTGGGGCACTTCCGCACTCCGCATTCCTTCTACTGGAAAACGCGATGGCCATCCTTACTATCAACAGTGTGGTCAAAGCGATGCACATCATAGCATTTCTTGTATTATGTTCATGGATTCCTAGTCAGATCAAAATTCCCCATTGTGAAGATTAGTGAAGGCGCCAGCTCTCGTTCAAAAGGCTCTGGTACGTGGCTACGGAGATTCCAAAAGTCATGGTAAGGAATTATTACAACACATGAAATGAATCTTAAGCCGCCAGCGCTTCCAAAGTAGAATGAAACGTAAACGTGGCTGGTGTGACAAAGCAGAACGTATAAACAAGAAGCTGTCCACCAAATGCGACCGTCAAGATCGTGTATCATAAATCCCATCCACTTGGCCATAATTAGAAGGTACTGCGGCGGCTGGGGCAAGGGTCCCTCGTGGGTATCGGATACGTGCTTCCGCTGCACGATGTCTGTATGTGAAGGAAGCGAAGGAAGGGCGGAACAAACGAAGAAAGGGGTATCTTAGAAAACAGTGCCGTCCGACAGGATCATGATTGGCGGTTCTTTAGTGTTGGGCCGCGACACTTCAGCAATCTCTCGACCTCCCTAGTGGTGTGGGTCAGTTACATCCCAGAACATGGGAATCATGTCAAACTTACCTTCCAACTACCAGCTTCCAGCATTTGGGCCAGATTAAGCTTGTCAGAGCCGCTCAAGCCCAACAGCTGATTTACGTCGACTAGGAGATCGTCGAGTAACCCGACAGTGACTGCGCGCCATTCCACGATCACGTCATCGTCGGCGGTAAACATCGGCACAACCTCCATGCTCGGTTGCCCTGTCACCTGTGCGTTGCGTTGGTATTGTGCGAGGCCGCGCTTCTGGTCATCGGGCTTGAGTGTTAGGAGGCCGACGTCAATGAAAAGTCCGCCGTTTCGGTATTCTGGCAACCCGGTCAGAAGCTCAGCGCCGGGGAAATGAACGTGGAGTAGCCTCGTCATTGGCACCATTAGCGAGTAGGTCATCCATTGTGTCAGCTTGTGGAAAGGGACAATGTTCTCCCACGGGTGGGTAGGATGCGATGGCATGACGGAGCACGGCCAGGCGTCGCCCATGGGTACACCGTCGATTTGGGTCCTCGTTGCCGGCCAGATGGGGGTCAAACTGTCCATGAGAGTGTTCCAGAGTGTGGGGAGGGGTATAATGGGGACTGAGGATGCTTGTGTGGTGGGGTGTGAGAGGAGGTAGTCTGAGAGTGTTAGCCAACATCATGAATTGTGGAAGGTGTGCGTACCGAGCATATTTCCTGGCCGTGCTTCGAGACCAAAGACTTCTTGATTTTGCAGGGCTTCTGCCAGGCGGAGCAGCAGGCTGGTGCGACCCTCGAGACCGTCTATTGGGTTTGTGGCGTTGACTTGCAAGCCACGCGCCACTGTTGCAACGTCGAGCTTCTTCAGCCCCGCACTGTCGACTTGGAAGGGCTCTCTGGGATCGCTGCTGAATGCGCCGGACTTGAACATCTCCAGACTGGCGACGGCAAGACCCTCGCTGCGGCGGTAAATCCTGCCCGACTCCTTGCTCTTGTACTGCCATTTGGTGCCTGCACCTGCATCGAGGAGGACGGAGACGAGGAAGAGATCAATCAGGCGGCGGGTGCGCTCTTGGTTGTCGACGGTTGACGGCCATGACGCCATGAGCTGGTCAATTCGCGGGCGGCCACCCACATCGAAGTGCTGCCAGCGGCCGTGGGGTGGGATGGAGGCGTAGTCGGGCGCATAGTCGCGCTGCAGGCACGGTTAGAGGGAGGCGGCCCAGCATGGCATCCTTGCGCAGCAAAATGAGGCTTACCTTGATTATCGATACAACAAAGCGGGCGACATCGCCAAACTTGCTCATGTCGACGGTGAAGTGCTTGAGCTGGTTCTTTTTGGCCTTTTCGAGCACCAGCTTGGAGCGCTCGCGGACGGCGTAGATGCTGCGCAGATAGCCGGCCGGGTCGAGGGTTGGATCCGGGGCCTTTGGCAGAGGGACGTCTGGGAAGCTTGTAGGCCGAGAGCCGTTTGGGGTGGGTCCAGGAGAGCGCAGGGAGCCATTGGAGCTGTTCGGCTGGCTGCCGTTGGGAGAAACCTGGGGCTTGGAGCCCTTGCGGTTGAAGAGACGCATCGAGGGCAGCGGCGACGGAGGGCGCGAGGAGCTGGCGGAAGGAGCGTTTCTGGCGAGGTTTGCTGGGGAGTAGGAAGGCACGTCGAAAGCTGGGCGAGGATGCTCGAGAGCGATGGTTCTGTGCCAGGCCCGCGCTTACTGGCAGTGCGGAACCGTTGCCGGGAGATCCCTGGACAAACAATCCGGAAGCGACTGCGCTGGTGGAGCTTAGTATGCAAGGGAGTCGACACGTGCGCTGGTAGCAAAACCTTGTGTAGAGACTACTACCCGGGCAGTCATGAATTGCAAATCAGGCGGGTCCCAGTCCAGGCAGAGTTGAGTTGAGAAATGGGGGAGTAGAGCCAGACAGACGCGTCGCTTGCAGATGTATAGTACCTGTCCACCCTGGCCAGCATAGTCGCGCCGACCGACTGCCCCTGGCTCTTCCGCGTCAGTGGACGGCACGATAGACGACGCTAGCAATAATCATCCCTCCCTCGAGCGTCCTGTTCCTGAGTCTCTCGTGTAGACTCGCCCGGCCGCCCGCTTCTCCATGCGTATCGGAGTCCGCTCCACACCGCAGGGTCCCGACTGTTTGTTCTCGTCGCGTCTATACGGAGTAGCTGCGACCGCGACCTCGCTCTCTGTTCCGCTCCAGGCATAGTTGGTGCCTTGTACCTGAGCCGTTCGCTCCAACCGCGAGCCTGGCGGCACGCACCACATCCCCTTTGCGGCTAGCCACCAGATACCTCTACCTGGTACCGGTCTTGACCCCGTTCAGGCTAGCCAGCGAACCGCTTGCATATATCAAATGCAACCTCTCATTACCACTTGTGCTGTCACCCATCGGCCAACTGCTGCATTTCTGCACCGTCAGCATCACCATGGATACGCATCCAAACCTAGATTCGCGCAGATTCTCCTGGCATAAGATTCTTTGCGAGTAGTGTGCGCACGTGAGTCATCTGGCCCTCGCTTCCTTCGGGGATGGGCGGGTGGTCAAGTCTGATACCGTGGGCGCGGGTTCGCGGCTCGGCAAATCCGCCATGCTGCCTGTGCCTGAGCGCCGAGGGTCGACTGTCTCCCGTCCAGGTACGAGCTGGCTGTTATGATCAGCCTAATAAGACGCCTGCGTGCACAGTCCGACCGAACCTTCTCGAGACCATATCATTCTTCTGCACAACTGCCGAAAGCAACTGGTATCCTTTGGAGCCAACACCACTAAGGCCTCGCGGCTTCGGTTACCGTGCCGTCTACGAGTAATGAATGACTAGATTCCTTCGGCCCGAGTCAATGTGAGACCACGGAGCCAAATCGTCCTGATGTGAGGCCATTGGGGAGAAAGCCTTGCAAAGCTTTGCTCAGGGGTCGCACAGTCGGGACAGTCCGCTCGCGCCAGGACGTGCTACTGCCACCATCTCCGCGGTCGCGGTTCGACAGTGCCCACTGACCGCATCACAACTTGCCAACTGTGGACCCGCATACGCCCACTCCATTTGTGCCTGTTGCCCGACTCCGCAGTAAGAATCCTTTCCGGTTGTTTACTTGTTGTTTACCCAGCAATCGATACTGAGCCGGTCGGCTCGGAGGAACTGCTCGCACCAATGCATTGGCAGGGTACCCGGTATCGTTACAGGCATGCGGTCCAAGAAGGCAGGGAGGTCCGCATCCGAGCCATAGGAGTCCGTGCCCACGCGGGAGCTGCGAAGATGGGGCTCCATAGCACTCTATCTGCGACATCTGTGTCGGCTCTTCCTGCCTTTGCAACATTGAAGATCTTTCTTGCTTCTGTGGCGGAGACGAGGCCCTTCATAGTTGCACTACCCTAACAAATTGTGTTCGCAAATGTTGACACTTTGATTTCACCAGGGAGCTGCCTGCGAACACCATGCAGACATGCTCAGGTAGTCGAAACTGCCCAAAAAGCATCGCGGCTACTTAGACCCTGCATATATCACGTGACGTGGCTGTGCTCTGTGGCGCGTAACGAGCAAGCGCGACCGACCATCGTGAAGCGGTCAATACACCTAATACCGATGCCAACACCCAACCCGCCATTATGATACCATTTCCTTTACACACTCATTGAAACCTTTCACACACAAGAACAGACATCATGGACGACCTAGCCGGCCTCGACTGGTCGCAGCCCGCCAAAAAGCCCGCCAACACCCCCGCGGCCTTCCCACCCTTCCGCCAGAGCCCCACGCCTCAGCTCTCTGGTCGATCCACACCCCTCTCTACGCTCTCCGCGCAACAATCTGGCTTAGGAGCTGGCTCCAGCGGTGCGCAGCAGTTCAAAGTGCCCTCGAAACCAGCGACCCCCGCAAACGATAGCTTCGCTGGTCTCGTGTCCTCCAACAAGTCCAAAGCACCGGCCAACAATTTGTCGCTACAAGAACGACAGAAGCAGATACAAGAGGAGAAGGCAAGACAAGAGGCGGAGAAGAGGAAGCAATGGGATACAACCTTCGGAGCTGCCGAGTCGACGCATTGGGACACGTTGGGCAGTGGGAAGAGCACGCCAGAACCTGCGGCATTTGGCGCCCCGCGTCCTTCGAACAACCCGTTCACCAATCACGGCCTATCCAAGACTATCAACAAGCCCTTCGCAGGCTTGGACACCTCTTCGAGACG